TGAATCTGCAAGGACGAATTTCCAGAGATTTCATCCAAATTGCTGGAATTAGTTCTTTCCACTTTTATTCCCAGTAGTTATGGACCTATATGCTGATTTTTGTCATTAAGCCTGTTTCTGATTATAAGGCAATGTCAAATGTCCTGTAGGATTTGAAAAGCCTTTCTACTTTTTAGTTTTAGATTCCCTTTTGCTTAAAAAATAGGAGCAGATTGGCAAGTTTGGAGTTGCTGTTTTCTTGAATGAGCAAAAGAATAAAGAAAACCAAGGTTTTAAAGGCCTCTGCATTATAAACCAGGTTAGATTCTCATGACATTTGGGGTTTTTTTTCCATCACACAATAGGATTCAGTGAAAGTGGAAGAGTTTAAATGAACTGAAGGAGATGTTTTGTCACAGGTGGAGTTTCTGGTGATGCAGGGATGCAGATTTTTCCTACTTATTCTGGAGAGTTTTCCCTCTTACAGTTCTTGTCAGTAGAATCTCCTTTCCTTTTCTGAATTGCCAAGTATGATTTATTTTAGAGTCTCAGCCCTGCTGTTTTCCTCTCTCCTGTCCTTTTCAACGGTTTGTGATCTTGGCCATGCCCAGCTCTCAGGAGATTGGGAATCACTTGTGCAGTCCATAAATAATGGTACAGGCTGGGGTCAGTCTGCTGTGACTTGCAGCAATTTCCTTTGATGGAATGGGGGTTGCTGGGTGCACTATTTATTCCTGGTTGGGGGAAAAGCACACAGCAGACTGTAGAGTTGCAAAAAAGAAAACAAAGGACAGCAATAAAAAAACGACACGTGTCGCTGCTGGGATGGAGGATTGTGCTCTGAACACAAACTAGATGACCTGCAGGATAAATTCAGACTTTAGCTCTTGAGAGCAACTCATTGTGGTTAAAATTATCACAACAGAATGAAAATTTCCAGGTTTATCAATGCAGTATGAAAAATTTACCTTTCTTAACTTTCCAGAGAGTATCTTGTTAAGACACTTCCTTTGCAGATCTGGACATGCTGATTTCATACTAAAGGTTAGTGTTCACTAACAGTTGCTGTGAAAATTAAATTTCTTCTCCCTGCATCAGTTATTCTTTGGTGTTTTCTGAGCAGAAAAGAACCACCCTTGTAGTTACTTACCTCTTATGTCCTAAAATATTTCTGTGTTTCAGGATATGAAGTCCTTCCTGTCCCTTTTCTCTCTCCCCTCAATACACAGCTGTTCAGTTCAATAGCTCCCTAAATCTGATCTGGTGCCTTGAATTAGAGGCTCTGTCAGTTTTATTTCTGTGTGGCTCCAGTCAGATGTGTGAAGGCAGCTCCAGCTGCACTTGGCAGCTGCTCTCCAGAGCTGCTGAAGTTCTCCACACTTTTACTGGAGAGCACTAACTCCAAACTGTTGCATTTCCATGGCAAATGGTGCAGAGGAGCGGGCAGTGGCTGTGCTTCCCTCCTGAGTGACTCCAAGTGGAAGAGCAGAGTCTGAGCCTGCCTGGGCTGCTCCTCCCCATCCCTGCCAGGGGAGAGGGTCCCGGTTTGTCTGTGGCACGCCGGTGACAGAAATGTGGAGCTGTTGCTGCAATCCTCACGCAGGGGCTGGCTGAGGGGCTGCTTTCCCTGCTCTGGGATGTGAAGGTGACCTGGGAATGCTTTCCATGGCAGTGGGATGTGCTCTGTGCTGCCCATGGCAGGGCAGAAGGAAATGATTTTGAAAAACCTGAGCCCACCTGTGAGCGACTTTCAAACGACTCTGCAAAGCTGGGGACGTTTTTGGGGGCCCATCAGTCCTTGGTGGATGAGTCAGGGTGTGTCAGCCCTGGGCATGGCAGATGTTGGCTCATAAGCAATTAGAGCCTGCTCTGACTTCTGCTGTCCCCTCTGCTGCTGGAGCTGCAGAGCCTGGCAGGAAAGCAGCTCATCCTGCTGCCTGCTGGGCTGGCACTGCCTGTGCCAGGGATTCAACTCCCACAACCAGCTCAGAATGCGTATGCATGTTCTTTATTTCAAAATAACATCTTTTATCAAAATGGTATTTTAAGTCAAATTGTATCAGCCTCCACATATTTTCTGTTTTTTTTTCTTTATCTGTTTTTGGCAACCTTAAGAGATAGAAAATTCCTCACAAAACACTGGACCTTCCCTTTGTTAGAGACCATTTTTCCACTTGCAACTGTGAAAAAAAAAAAAACAATGAGAAGCAATCAGCAAAACCAAGGCTATCAAACAATAAAACCTTGAAGTACAGAAATTATCTCAAACTCTAATACCCAAACCCTCAGCTCTCATGACCTTTCTGCTTTGCAGGGTGCACGTGGGTGAAACCACTTGAATACTGATAATTTTTCAATGTCATCCCACAGTCCTTGTTTACTCCCTGACAGAGATAAGTTACCTCACAGCTCTTTGAGGCAGAATCAGAAACCAGCAATTAAGAATGTAATTTGGTTTGTGCACCCCAGGGAACACAGGGAGCTCTGTAGGGGTTGGGTAGGAGCAGTGAGGCTGAGGAGGAGTCACACCCTGAGGAGGAGCAGTGCTCACAGGAGCAGTACAGGACAATTTGTGGGATATTCATGGAATCACAGAATGGTTTGGGTTGAAGGGACCTTAAAGCTCTCCTCATTCCAGCCCCTGCCATGGCAGGAGCACGTTCCACTAAACCAGGTTGCTCCAAGCCCAGCCTGGAACATTCCGTAACCTCTCTGGACAATCTTTTCCAGTGCCCCACCACCTTACAGGGAAGGATTTCCTCCCGTGATCCCATCTAACCCCACTCTCAGCTTAAAGCCATCCCCCTTGCCTCTGACCCCAAACCTTCATGGAAAGCCCTCTCCAGCCTCCCTGTGAGCCCCCTTTAAGGGGCTCTCAGCTCTCCCCAGAGCCTTTTCCTCATGCAGAGTTAATTCTGGTTCATTTCCTATTATTTATTTCCTAATTTCCTATTATTTATTTATTATTGAACTGAAACCCAAACAGCTGTCTGTGTTCTTGCTGCAGGTTTTGGCAGAGGTGGGAATTTAAGGAGATGTTTTCCTCCTGATTCTGACGCTCTGCTATGGCTTTAGGAGTTTCATGAAACAAAAATACAGTTGTATTGGCAGGAGTAAAAATGGCCATGAACTGAATTTGCTGTCCAGCTGGTGACTGGGTCTAAAATGCCAGTTTAGGAATTTTAGAGTTCCTCTGAGCCTTTTCTTTCTCTTCTTTTGTTCTTTCTGTCTGGAAATATGGGGGATCAAGTCTAGGAGCAGGCAGTTCTTCAGACAGAGTCTGAAATGGTTACAGTTCAGAAAAATACAAGCAGTTTAGGAAATAATGTCATTTATGGAGTGAGTCTAATTTCAGGGAAGTTTGCTGTAATTCAGACTCCTCTTTTAAGTGAAGAAGTGAGTGAGCTGCATAAAACAAGGAGGTTTTGTTCTGCTAAGGTGAGCTCTTCTCTGGGTACCTAGTCCAGGTTTGGGCTATGGTGATTTCACCCTCGAGGTAATTTGAAAGAAGTTGAGGAGGCAAAATGCAGCTGAGCTATTTCGGCATGCTGAGGCAAAAAGAAGAGACAACTGAATAGAAACCCAAGACCTCTGAAAACCCCAGTCTTTTGAAAGTAAAGTGTAATTAAGGACATAAGGATGATTTTAATTTAATTTCACACTAGGAAACACTCTATACCTTTTGTGTTTCGGGGAATTATACATAAAATTATTAAGAAAATCAGACAGTGTAAATACCAAAGGATTCAGTGTCTTAAACTCCATGAAATTATAAATCTGAGAGAGGCCCTGTGGCTGGTAATGGCACATGGCACAGGCACCCTGGGAAGGTTCAGTGTCAGTCTCACACTGAGCAATTCCATTTTATTCCATTTTTATTTTAAAAGTGCTCCTTTCTTCCTAGTCCCAGCTCCTTCCATCTCCATGTACAGATTAAGGACAGTATCATGGAAGGGAGGAGTTTGAATTCCAGGGTTTTTCCTCCCAAAGTGTGCACAGATGCACTGAACCCCTTGGAGCAGCTCTGGCTGGACAAGGCCACTCTGATCTGCTGCAAAATTCTGTGACTCAGAGTAACATCTGTGATGAGTCCTCACTGCCAAATACTCCAGAGAGAGCTTCAAAAATAAATGGGACAATTATTAAACAATTAATTTGTTTTACAGATCAGGTGGGCTTTAATTCACTAATAGTTAATGCCTCCTATAAGCAAAAAAATCATGGGAGGAGGAAACTTTCCTTGAAAAATGCCATTTGTGCTAGAAGTGTGAACCCCTCAGAGGTTACCCCAGGGAGGAGTTTGCCAAATGGGAAGTGAGGAGGGCATTGGGAGGGGAAGGGACATTGAGGATGAAGTCAAATCATTTGTGGGAAAAAAAATAAAACCTGCATGGTGGAGGTCAGGGGAGAAAATACCCAAGCTTCCTTTTAAGGCCGGTTTGCAGGTTTAATAAAAAATGAATAAACTAAAAGTGAGTTTGTGGGGATCTAAGGAAATGCAAAGTCTGTGAGAAACAGACTGCCAGGTTTGGGGGACGTGGGAACAGGAGAAAGGGTCCAGATGGTGACAAATCCAAATGCTGCAAGAGCCCTGCAGTAAACGAGGATCCAGAGCCAGGTGTGTGCCTGCATTAGAATCCTGCTCCTGAACATACAGATCAGCTCATTTCATAATTTCCTGGCATTTTCCCTCTTTACACCTCTGCCATATTTCTGGGAAAGCCAGAGAGCTGCACACAACAAAAGCTGATAGTTTTAGGGATTTTTAGCAAATTAAGCCAAGCAGGGATCTGATTTCTGCTCATTTAAACTTTTACCTGTGGCACAAGTAGAGGCTGTTTATGTAGGATACAATCCCAGCAAGTACCTCAGTATATACTCAGTAATAGTATATTGTGTATTTTGTTAGCAATATATTTAGCATTAAGTGACAGTTTTCTTTTTTAGAGTGTGAATATTGTTCTATGTGCATATGTCCTGTCTAATGTATCTTTAAGAAAAATGTACATTAACAATATATATCTATTCTTAAAATCTTCATCTGCTACACCACAAAAAACCCACAAAATACAGAAAACCCAACGAGGTAAAACACCATTGAACAGAGTTTGTTTCATTGCTTGCATAACACATTTTTTTCTCTCCTTTAAAATGCAATTAAAATAATACAAATATTTGTTCCCAATCTGGCTCAAAGGTGCCACAATTTTCCATGGAGGTGTGTGAGAACTACACAGTGTGGAAAGGAATGGAAAGGAATGGAAATCTTATTCCTCAGCTTGCATTGTGGACCTTATTCCTGTATGAAACCTTTTCCTGGGAAAAAATCATACATGTACAGTTGAATGATCTTGTTTCATCACTGGCATTATCTCAGGCAAATCACTTCACATTCTTAAAAGATCCACAGTGCATCTTTTCAGTAACATAAACTCACTGGCTCTTTTAGGAGTTCTGCCTCTGTGAATGACACAGCAAAAGCACCTTGGGAAAAACCTATTTTTTTTTTTTTTTTAATTTTGCCCCAGGAATTATTTTATTGCTGATTAAAACATTCCATGGCACCACAATTAGGCCCAGCTCTTTACATTAACTGGCCTCCATGTGGGGCCTAATTTTGTGTCTGCAGCTGCACTGAGGGAAATTAAACTTTAGAACTCACTTGTGCACTGCACAATTGTTTGCTAACACAGAATGACAGCAAAATGAATTTTTCAGCCCTTCCTTTCCCTGAGAGCCTGGGATCAAGATTGCTTTGGACCTTCTTCAAGCACTTAAATTTAACTTCTTATGTAAAATCTGTCTGTTGTCAGGTAAGGCTGCTGCCTAAGGCATCTCTATAATTGCAAATATAAAATTCAGCAGAGCAATAAAAAAATCTAGCTTCAGAGTTAAATAAGGTGAGTAATTGAGTGAGAAACACAGAGCCCTTAAAACCTGCACTGCTGGCACACACTCCTGGGTGTGTTTATCATTCAGTTTGTCACCTCTAGGGTAAGGGATAACAAATCCAGGGATAACACAGGCTGCCTTGGCTTTGGAGTGGGGCTTCCACAAAGGCTGCAAACTGTGCCCAGCACCTGCACAGCCAGGGCTGTAAATCCCTGTGGGTCAGGTGAGGCACAGTTTGGTGCCAGCCCAGTCCCAGTTTTCCAGGGCTGTAAATCAGTGTGGGTCAGATGAGGCACAGTTTGGTGCCAGCCCAGTCCCAGTTTTGCAGAGCTGTAAATCCCTGTGGATCAGGTGAGGGTTGGTGGGCACAGTTTGGTGCCAGCCCAGTCCCAGGGGCACCCCAGGGCTGGCCTTTGCAGTCCAGGTAAGGCAGGCTGTGCCCAGCCCAGGGCTGCTGCTCCTCTCTGGGGTCGCTCCTCGCTCCTGGCCAGTCCAGGTGTGGCTGAGCTGGACAAATGTCCCTGATTGCTCCTTGCAGCTGTCCTGGGGCTGGCTGGGCTCAGCAGGAGATCACCAGGGGGTTGGACAGGGACTGTGGGCTCTGTGCCTGCTCCGTGGGCTGCTTGTGCAGGAGTTCACAGGCTGCCAGCTCCTGCTGAAGGGTGTCCAGCACTTCCAACAGCTGGGCTTTGCCTTGGGAAAGCAAATTGCAAACATGAGCATTTGAACAAAGTCAGGAAGTTGCTGTTTCACAATCGTAACAGGCTCTTTTCTTCATAGGTGGCCTTTCAAGTGGTTATCATAAAATGTCTAAATTTTGTGACCAAATAAAATGAATTCCTGTCCAAAGAACCATGAGCAAATCTCTTGGGGGTTCAACTGTCTTCTCTGGTTTCCTCTTGCTTCATCCCCTGTCCACTGAGCTCTCATGTACTTGTGTGAACAGATTATTTTATAACGCCATTGCCAACCCAACCCACTTTGGCTTGTCAGAGAGAAATGTTTGATTACAAAGACTGGGAAAGCTGCTGAAGCCTCCCCAAGTGCACAAGCAGACAGTGGGAAGCAGAGAAGATGAGCTGTGTATGGCACTGGTGATGCAGAATGCACAGAGAGCAGCACTTGCTGGAGTTTTGGGGAGCTGAGCTGTGCTGCTCTTACAAAGGGAGGAGCTTTGAGCAGCATCCCTTGGTATTATTGTCACTGCTAGTAATGAAGGGATGGGACTTCTTTCAGGCTAAAAATGATTTATAGCTCAGACAAACATCAGTCTCAGGGGCTGTGAGATTTTTGAGGAGCAAGCATTCAGCCCTAGCTCAGGAGCAGTCACAAGTTCTTTGTTACAAGGCAATACAGAATTTCTAACCCAATGGACAGCTGGCACAGGGTTTATTTTGCTTTTCTAACCCATCACCTTTACTCACTTCTGCTGCACTGCAGACACTTTTGTCCAATGGCTTCTGTGTCACTTGCACACAAATGCTTCTGTTATAACTCCTGAACTCTCAGCTCACTCCACACAACCCCACCCCTACACTACAAACCCTTCACCATCTTACCAGTGCAGTTTCTCACTTACTTAAGGCATATTCTTACAACTATAGAACCATAAGTTTATGATTTTTCTTCTTAATATCTGTATATTGTATTTTTACATCAATCCAAACTTCTTCTAAGGTTGCAAATCAAACCCTTCAGTGTCTGTGGAAGTTTCAATTTTTCCAATTCCCACACCTTGGAGTCCCTGTCCCTGTGCAGGATAATTGGCAGTACCTTCTGGACATTGTGCTGTGGATCCAAAAAGTCTCCTCATCTGTTCTCCCAGGAGAACATCAAACCCATGGCTCAGCTGTGGTTTCTGTTTGTACTGGTGTCTCCTAGAGCCTACAAAAGTCTGGTTTTGCCCTCTTTTCTCTGCTTCCTCTGCAGCTGAAGAGCACAGCTTGGCTCTGGGCTGTCTGTGCCCTGGATTGCAGGGCACAAGGAAAAACAGCCTTTGAAACTGCAAACCCCAAAGGGTTCCCATGCTGTTCTCCCTAAATCCCTGTAAATAATACTCTCCAAACTGAGCCCCCAGGCCACATTTGGTCTTTTCTAATGTAGTCTTTGATTGCTGCCTGCCTGTTAAAGCCCCTCGGAGCCATGTTCCTGGGACAGGATGTTCATTCCTTGGAGGGAAGCACAAATGCTCTGCTAATAGGAACAAAGTAATCAAAGCAAAGCCCTGAGGCCGTGATTCCTGCACGGCTCCTGCAAAGACAGCTCCGGACCATGGGCAAGGGACAGGAGCTTTCAAGTTTAATTTTCACACCAGGATCATGAAATGCTGTTATTAGAGGAGTGCAGGCTTGAGCTGCTTTCTGCAGAGAACTGTTCTGATGGGTAAATCTTGTGTTGCAGAGAGGAACACAACACACCTGAGAAACAGTTGCTTTACGTACTTGGTCATTTCTCCACTTTCTTCTATCAATGAAACCCTAAAAGCATTTGTAGGATACTGGATTATTCCCCAAAGGCCAAATTTTAATTAAATTTGACTAAAAAAGCACCCTGGGTGTGGTTTTGATGCATCCCAGATTAGAAAGCATGACTTTCTAAAGGTATTCTTCTTGCAAACTACTTCCTTCTCCCCAGCCTGTACCCCAGGATTTGAAATATCCTTTTCCTACCCAGTGTTTGTCCCAGAAGGACACTTTTCATGCTTCTTGGTCTTTAGATGTGATTTCTTTTCTTACCAGGCTGGGGGTCATGGCAGGATTCCAAAGTGCTCAGTAGGATTTTCCCCAGGGCTCGCTTCGATATGTTCTTTAAAAAACAAAACAAAATTATGGCACAAATGTGTCCTTCACCAGTTTACAGATATGCAACAGAACCTGTGTGCATTTGGAAACTAAACCATTTGCATTTGGAAACTAAACCAAAATGACACTGAATCCTGATTAACACAAGATGATATTTGCATTTGATTTTAGACCCTGCTCAGACAATTTGTAGGGGGTTGTAATTCCTTAATATGGCTGTGGAAAGAGAAATAACAATTATTCAGCAGGAAATACAGAATTTTCTAGAGCTTGTGTCTGAACAACTGTAGGTGGCAAGGAGGGTGACCAGAGCAAAAGCTCTTTGTCCTCTGCCAGGTCTGTGGAAGGTGAATGGAACCTGAGTGGTGTTATTTTAGGAAGGGTCTTCTCAGCTGAAGGACAGAGCAGATGTCCTGTGGCAGGAATGGATGTGAGATGTAATAAACATTAGTCAAAGTGAGAGCACTGTAAAAACTACTCAGGATTTGGATGGTCTCTCTCAGTGGTGGTTTTACACATGAAATCTGGCGGGACATTACATAATTGTGCCTGGGAAAGCAAACTGTCCTCATTTGCTGTCAAGACACTGGTGTGCTTTCTGGGAGATGGCCTTGCAATCAGTTTAATTAGCACTTAGAGAGCCCTGAGTATCTGCAGGGACAGGTGGTTGTTCTTGCTATAACTTCTTCAAGAAGTGGGAGTGGAAGGGAGCAATTCTGGGGGAAGATGCTGTTACCTCCAGGCAGAGCTGGCCCTGCTCCCTGCCTGGAGCCTCTTCCATCTGCTTGGCTGCCCCTGGGGACTGGGGCAGAGTGGAAGCAGTGTGAGGATTTCACATGGCCTCAGCAGCACTGTGTGAGGTTTGATTAGTCCTGACAGGATGGGTGTGTGCCTTTGGGCAGTCACTGCTCAGTGGAAGGTTCTGTTGGCAACGAGATATTTCAGATATGAAGGTGAATGTGTTGGACAAGTGACACCTAAACCCACAGGTTCTGATGAGTAAGGTCTCTTTTGTCTTGGGTATATGCCATCAGGGATTTAGGGGATTCTTGTTAAACTCCCCTGGCAGTTTTATCTCTTTAATGCTGACTCAGAGTTACATTAGCATGCAGTTAAACAAAGGTCCTGTTCTAGAAGGAAAAATACATGTTCTGGAATCTTCCTGATTGCTCACTCTTCTGTTTTCCTCATTTGCCCTCAATTTTGGTTTAGAGGGCAATGGGCTTGAAGATGCAGCTCCAAGGAGACCTCTAGGCTTTTAGAAATCCAGGCAAAGGGGTCTGAAAGCTTTCTGCAATCACCAGGCAGTTCCCAGGGCACACTCCTGTAAAATCCTCTCCTGCTGTAAAGGATTTTGTGCTTCCCAGAAGAGATGAACATATTCTCAGCTTGGAAGGGACTACAAACCCCAGTTTTCAGTCCCAGGACTGCTTTCGCACCATACCAAGTCTCGAAGTTGTTGGAGAAGCTGCAGAACATCCAGGAGCTTCTCTTCCACCAGGGACAGCCGAACCCTCTCCGTCTCCAGCATCTGCAGCTCCATCTTCAGCACTTCAGTCTCCTCCACCTTCTGCTGCAGCTCCCCGAGCCAGGGGCTTTTCATCTGCACAAAACACAGCAAAATGAAGGCACTGGAGCTTTTCCTTTCTTCCCCAAGGATTGCAAAGCTGAGTTTTCCCCCTTCTGTGGTAAATGGGGCTCACTCCAGAAGATTCCCTTGAAGGGAAGTTAATTTCATTTATGTGCTACATAAAGAGATATCAGGGGTTGTTAGGAAATCAGAGCTTTGCTCTTGTGCACAATGGGAAGTTCATTCATCACTGGGTGAAAGCAGCTCATTCAGGAATTTTAAATATTACATTTATTATACATTTTATACTTAAATACTAGCATTGCTATGTCAGCCTTCTCCCCTTTTACATTCTTGTCCTCTATAGAGCAAAACTAATTTGTGTGCCCTCAGCACAATCATCTCTGTCTTGCAGCTCCTACCCAGCAATCATCTGTACATTCAGTGAGACAGAAAGATCTCTCTGTCCCTGGTGCAGTGGGAACCAGGTGAGGAACACCAAGAGCAACAACCTCTCCACTCTTTCTCCTTGCTTTTCCCCAGATGTTGGGATTAACTTCTCTTTTGACTCTGCATGGCTGTTCATAAACTAATTGCCTTTTTAATTAAGCTGGCAGCTTGCATGCAAGCTCACATAGAAAATAATTGGCATTTCTTTGTAACACTACACTCAGCAGCATAACACTTTATTTTTAGACTTCACTCATGTTCTCCCCATCTACCACCCCCAGGTCACCACCCTCTCTTCAGGAGGAGCTATTTATAAGTGTTTGCCTGTTGGAAAGTAGAACTTTCTAGACATGACAAATCTCAGAACTCTCTCAAACTCTGATTTTGCAAGCCTCAGGCTGGAGCAATTATTAATCAGTATTTGAGAGCACTGACCTTCACTTGCATGTGAGGCTCTTGCTTGTTAGCCTTGTTATTTGTCTGATTTTCCACACTGAGCAGGTACAAACAGAAGCATATACAGCCATGTGTAAGGCACTTTTGTCAGCCTCAGAGGAAGTCTTGGTGGTTTATTTATTAAGCCAATATATTTATCTGCAAGGTGCTCAAGAGAGAGCATTTCTCAGTCTTCCTATTTGCCTTCTGTTGATTACAAGGAGAGTCACCTTTTTGACAGGAATTTTTTACTACTTGTCTTTTGTAGCAGCAAATTCCTCCCCTATAACTGCTGGCTAATATAAAAGGGCTTAAGAATAAATCTCCTAACAGGCTCAACATGATTCATCCTACTGCTATTTAATTCATGTCACAGTGAGTTGGCACTATGTCTTCTTCACCTCCCTGCTTGCCTCTAAATCAAGAGCAACAGATTCCATTTTTCTTCTGGAATCTTGTATTAATCTGTTGATAATGGTGCTTTTCCAGACAAGCTGCACAGAACTAATATCCATCAGCAGAGATGAAAAAGAGGGCAGTATGATGCTGCAGAAGAAGATGAGCACCTCAGAATGGGGAACAAAGGAGAAGAAAACTGGCACTACCTGCAGGTATTTTTTTCCCCTGTAGACTGATGCTAAGCAGTAGAGAAGGAACTTTCATATTTCTCTGAAGAGTATTGCAAGGATAAATTGCTATTGAATGCTGCAAATTGTGTACGGCAGAAACAGGATTTTTTTTTTTTTTTTTCTTTTTTTTTTTGTTTTTTTGCCTAACAAGTAAACTCTTTCATTTAATTTGCTCAAGGGAGAAAATGACATGAAACACTGTTAAAACACAAAGGATGGCAACATGTGAAGAAGCTGAATACCCTCACTTTAAATATTTCACTGATTCACATAATCCTTCCAGAACTACTGAAAGCTTTCTGCTTTGTTTAAAGATGGGGTATAAAATACTGAACAAGCACAGGAGAAAGCAGACCAGGGCAATGCACTATTTTTGTTTCATAGAAAGATTGCTGGCACTTCTGTGCCCATCAGGGGCTGAACTCTGCAGAATTTAAATAGTGAGCTCACAAGGACTGCTGGGATACAGCACTGGGGCTTTAAATAATGTGGTTACAACCTCTGCTCAAGGGTAGTTGGACATGCTGCTAACCTCAGAACTAATTTTATTTATATTTTATTATATTATTGATATGTTACATTAGATTGATATATTGTATTATATAAATAGCTCTGTCTAAGCCCAAGAAAAAGACAGAGTAAATGGGATAATTTACTGCCAAACAGGGAGTCTCAGCCAGCCTGAGGGATTTATTGGAAAGTTATTCTGCTCCCAGAGGTGTTGGATGCCTTAGGATATGGGAGTGCTTCATCCACAGCTGGAGAACCTCAGTAAATCAAGGACAGTATTTGAAGGGCCTGGGGTAGCTCTCATCTTCCAAAGGCAGTTTTGGCTAGGAGCCAGAGTAGAAATGCAGGTGTTGGAGGAAAGCAGGAGATGTCTGAGCTGACAAACTACAGCACAATGAGAAGCATCGGCAACAGAGAGCAGAATAGCCAAAATAAAATACAAACACACACAGATGCAGCTCCCCAAAGATGCATAAACAACTCCTTCACACTCTGCTTGGCACCTGTTACCTCTTCCATGCTTGCTTCCAGTTTTCTCTCTTGGTGGCCCTTGAGTTCTGGCTGCTCTGTGAGGGGGGAGATTCTCCCCGAGGGCTCCACAGGGTCCTTCCCGTCAGTGCTGCTGGTCTCCAGGTAGCACAGCAGCTTTCTCCAGGTTTTTTCATCACACCTACACACATCATTAAGAGAAAAGAGTTAGTAAGACCTCACAATAGAGGTCTGTGTTTGTTAAATCCAGTTTTCCTGTGGAATTCTTGGCAGCACGGGTCACAAATGAGTGTCTGACATTAGGGCTCGGTGGGAATCTCCAGCAGGCTGCTCCCTACGTGGCACACAGGATGGGCAAAAGGCTTCTGACTGCAGCCACAGGTTGTGAAATGATCTACGCAAAGGGCTCAAATGGCATTAATTAACGAATTAAACTTACCCACTGCCACAGCAAGGGAGCTTGGCCAGGATCTTCTTCAGCTGGGGAGCCCGGTCCCCTCGCCACTTCTCCTCCTCCTCGTCCGAGGCAGCCTGGCCCTCCACGGAGCGTAAGAGCTGCTCCTCTGCTGGGAGACAGGGAGCCCTCAGCAGCACCCCAACAAGCCCAGCTGCACCCCCAGTCTGAGCCAGAACGAAGTGAGAGCCCAAACCCCCAGAGAAACCCGGGCAGGTGCCCAGCACCCCGGGAAGGGGCTGGGGCAATGGGTTTTGCACAGGAGGCGTTTGCTGAAGCGATACAAAACCACTACAGGCAGCTGCAGCCAAGATCCTTATTTTGAGAGTCTTGAACATTTCAGTGCTCTCTTGTGGGCAACTTGGAGCTGTTTACCTCAACTCTCTTCTTTCCTTGAGTTAAGGTAAGGATAAGTGTGAAGGATCAGTTGTTGTGGGGGGCAGTTACTGTTCAAGAACACAGTTTTTTTACTTGTTCCTCTCTCTGAGTTAGTTTTTCTGCCTAACTAGTCCGATTTTACTTGATGGAACGTTTTCCCCTGTTTTAGAATCTATGACCCCATGACTTATTTGTTTGAAAACATTTTTCTAAAAAGCTGTTTATTCTTGAAATAGTGTAATTTTATGTGGAAACTCTGAGCTGGCAAAGTGTGTGATTTGATAAAAACATTTGTAAAAGCAGGTTTGCTTTCTAAGTCTAACCGGGTGAAGAACATGCTAGAATGTTAATTGTATTTATTTGTCACTATTTTTAACATTCCCAAGCAGCTGCATGCCAGCTCCATTCAACACACACCTAAAATCCCATTTTTTGTCACAACGAACAGCTTTCCAGTCTGCAGTAAAGGTGCCTTGTAACTCAGAATTATTGCCAGATAAGTGCTTTTGTGGTCTTTGAACTGGATGTGCCCAAAAAAATAAACCACTGCAGGGAAGCCAAAGCATGCAGTGTTATGGCAGCTGTTGGTGCTACATGTGCTAAACAGTTTGGGCTTGTCCAGAGTCACTGGAGCAGCCAGGATGTTTCCAAGGAGCGTGGCTGTGCAAAATATTAACTGCAAATTGTTTCCTTGGAAATTATTTTTGCTGAGGTTCTGCATTTTTATTTACAAAGAAATGAAATCTTTATACTTTTTAAGCCAGGAAAATAAGTTTTGGTGGGATGACTCATGTGGAAAAAAGCAGTTTTAAATCATAGCTCTAAGTGATAAGTTCAGTCTTTCATTAAACACAGAATTATATGGGGAGTGAGGAGCGGAAATCTGGGCTATAAGGCTTTGGGTAGGTCTGGGATTTCAAGACTCTCTAGGACTGGTTTGTGGTACAGTGGTTTAACCTCTTTGGTAGTTTTGCTGCTGCTGGCACTAGAGATGAGAGAGGCCAGGGGTGTTTGGGGCTGGGTTGGTACCGTGGTTGGTGGTGCCTGGCGGTGCCACAGGCGCTCCGTGGGTGCCCCCGGGCACGGCTGCTCCCTCCTGCTGCTGCTGCTGGGGGCTGCTCTGCTGGGCAAGCTGGCATCGCTCCACTTCCCACCTGCAAAAGAGGCCAGAGTGTTGTAGATGAGACCGAGACACTACAAAGCAACACACTCCATTTCCAGAAGGCTTCAAACCCTGTTTTTATTTTAGCATGCATGCATGCTTTTTCTACATTCTTACAAAGCTCTTAAGTTTGCACTTTACTCATTGGTCACGAGGGACAAGCAAAGTGCTCATTGGAATAGGCAGTTGCAGGTTTCTCTTATTTATCCTTCTTTCTTTCTTGGTTTCTATGTCAATAGAAACCTGGGTAGAAAATTCTTGGTAGAAAATTCTTTCAGGGGTAAACATGGATCCTCTTATCAGACTTCTCGATGGCTCACAGAGGTCGCTGTACAACCTCTTCCACACCAGAGTGAGGTAGGTGTGCAGGAAATTTGGAACACCAGGATGGCTCTGGTGGGATGCAGCTGCTGGGACTGGCTGAAGAACGGGGCCATTGACCCCAAGGGCTGCCGGAGGTGACTTTCCTGACAACCAAAGGAAGGTGGATTTCAGCTGTCCTGTGACAAGAAGAGCTGAACAGTGCCTGTAATGTTTAGGTCAGATCAAAGACCTCTAGGAAACATCTATGGAGTAGTCACTGTGGCCACAGGTACCTGCACCCAGTCCCGTGGGCTCTGACACATCAGGGATCTGGATCCATGTCTTGTGAGCGCTGGGATGAAGCAGAGTCAGAGCCTGAGCAGCCAAAAAGAATGATCCAGGAATGGTGGCACACCTGGAAATCAGGGACTTGCAGGTGAGCAGCATCTCAGAATGGGTGACAGCCTCCTTTGGGATTGTCTTTGTCTGAGAGGACATCACACTTACGTGTTTTAAAGGAATGGCTTCCAAGGGATGGGACACAGATCAAATAAGGTATCTGAGGAATAGGAGTCCTCAAAGGTGCCAAATTCCCTCCAAATTCTTCTGTAGGTTAGTTTTGGTCTGGTGAATATTGAATATTTCCTTTATTTAACACATTAATAGCAAAAATGAGAGCTAAACCACTCAGCAGGTGGGTCCTGCTGACACAAGCTGCATAACGTGAGCTTTCTGTACAAATCTTGTGCTTCCTGCCAGCAGATCCAGCTGCAGCTGGGAGGGGACTTTGGCTGCAGGGACAGAGCAGCTGAGTCCACGCTGGCCACCAGAATTGCAGAGCTTTTGTTTAACTCAGCTGCTCCTGAGGAGCCACACCAATGGTAGCTCCCTTATTGCCCGTGAAACTGCAAGGAGTAAACAAGATCATGAATTTAACCACAGAAGTCGCTATTTGTAAACAGCTGTAGGGGAGAAGCTGAGCTCAACCTTGCTGAGAAGCCAGCACTTGCTTTACCCCCTTGAGTAGAGCTGACTGCATTAAAAACTAATGACTTCATTTGCAATTCATGGTGTTATTCAGCTCAGCAACAAACTGGATTTCCCGTAAAGCCAAGGGAAACAACAATCCCCAGAAAGGAGCCTGGACAGTCATCGGTTCTGGAAAAAATAATTCTGGAGTGGTGCACAAATAAAATGCACTGTAAAGCCTGGATATTCAGAGTGGGGGCTCTGAGAAGCATCACAGAGCTTCAGAGTTCTGGACAGCAGCTGGAGGATATTCCCTTCACAGGGATACTGCATTTTACTTTCCTGCAATGTGCTGATTTTCTGGTACTCTACAGGAATTCTTTACAATTTCTTGAGCACCATAGTTGGTGTCTGAGCAGACTGTTTTCAGGTTTGAGCTGCAGTATAATTTAGATTGCTTGGGTTTCAAATTCCAGAGTTAGTTCACATAACACAGATGCTGATATTTCAGTGCATATTTATTGCAGTGATTTGCAGTGATTATTGCAGATTTTAATGTAAAACTTGGAGAATTTTCAAGTATCATGGAAACCTCTTCCAGCAGGTGTGGGTGAAGGGGATTCAAGGAGGAGCTGGAAGCAGGAATCTTCACTGCTTCTCAAACACAGGTTTAATTCTTTCCTCATTGCTATTCATACAGCATCAAATGGGTCTCCATAAATGAGAAGCAGAGTGAATAAACAGCACATTTGTTTGGGGCAAAGATCAGAGGGGGAAGCGGCGCTGGAGGTGCCTGGGAAGGTTTGTGTGGGGTGAGCGTGGCAAGGCTTCCATGGAGACAGGGAAACAGCCCCCATTCATCCCAGAGCCTTTGTCCCCAGCATAATGGGCAGCAGCACTGCAGAGGGGAGAGTTTGCAAAGCACTGGACCTCAAAGTAATGCCCGTGACTAATTGGCTTTTAATTGGCTCTGCTGTATTGTTATGGAAACATGGAGCTGCAGGAAAACCCACCTGCTTCTGGTGCTGAGCAAATCTTGGGCTTGAATAATTCCTGACTGATCAGAAAATAACTCTGAGGAATTATTAACTTGTCATTCACAGACCTTTAACTCGTCTCTTTTAGAGACTTCCTTGGAGCAGATCAAACAGCTGTGTGTGTACATTGCCCTGAGTGTAGTTATACTCACAGCTACACTTTATTTTCATTAACATTTTGGTTAAAAACCACAAGTGTAGGACTTGTGGTTTTTAACCAAAATGAAGTGTGATTTTTATTTTTGTACTATTTTACCTAAGCTGTCAGAGTTCAGGGAACTCAGAATGGTTTGAGATTTGGCTTACTCCCTGTGGGAATTAGAGACTTCAGGTGTACATTTTGGAATGATTTGACTTTTCATTTACAGCTGAGATTTTGCTTTCATGCTGGAGCTGAGTGTCTGTGCGGGTTTTCTGAATTCATCTGTCTCTGGTTGGTGCTGTGAGCCCCTACCCAACAGAAATCCTATGAATGAACTTTCTGTGATCAATCCAGATGCTTCATCTCAGCTTTTAAATAGCTAGATCTGTCAGGCATTAAAGATAAATGTTTAAAAGCATGACTTGTTAGTGGCTATAATAAAGATCACTAAATATCCTGGCTTTATATGGGCAGTTCTAAAGCACAGTTATAACTTCAACTATAAGGGTTACAGTTCTGGGAGGTTTCCAGTTCTTGACTGATGATTTTAATTTTCTTGTCAAAATCTCCAGCCTCTAGAAAAAAAAATCATTGAAGTGATGGCCGTGTGTTTTCTTGCAAACCTTTCCATCTCCCTGCTCGTTGGACATGAGCAGGCAAATCCTGGGATGGTGCTGTCACACACAGCAGACTGTGCCTTGCTGTCCTTCCTGTGGTGGCTTTGAGCACTTTGGAGACAGCACCAACCTTTGTGCACACATTATGAAATGCCATTGTTTGAGGTCTGCTTTTAGCCCAGCCCACAAGGAATAGCAACAGAGGCATGTGGGAGCAAACACAGCCTCACCCCCACAGCCCGTGCCAGAATTGCCTGGATACATTCTGTTTGTCCTTCCTGCTTTTCAAACTCACATTTTGAGAATTCTGTCTCTCCTGGTGTCCTGATTTGGATTTTACAGAAAGATGCTTGAGAGCCTACAATCAAAAATAACTAAAATCCTGTGGTGTTCTGAGCACTGACAGCTCTAACCAAGGCACTTGACATAAATCATTGAGGCCAGGGAAAGCAGAGCTGTGCTCCTGTGATCATTTCCTTCTGCCATTGCTTGTGTAACAGCCCTCACCCTCGTGTGTTCCTTCACGTAGACGTGTGCTGTTTAATCCCCAGGAATCCTTCCCTTATCTCCTGGGTGCTGCAGTGTATAGCAGTAAAAAATCAAATGTCCAGGGAGCCTTTTAGTGCCTTCAGAAGCGTTCTTCCCAACAGACTATTTAACAGCTGGGTGAAGATCCTGCAGAATTCCACTCTGAAAGCTTAAAAATGTGCCAGAGCTCTTTCTGATGTCTGTAAAACTGCAGCTATCCCTGAGTGTGGCACAGACTGAAAGTTCCTACTTACTGGCACGTAAATTCCTTCAGGATTTATTTCAGCACGTCCCACATTTAGAGCCTGGTGGATCTGGAGTGACAGGAGAGAAAGATGGCTCATTTAATAACAAACACTGAGCTTTCAGCTGGCTGTGAGTTATTTCTGACTAGGAATTCCTAAGTTTGGGAAAATCCGTCAGCAATGTGTGAGGGAGGAGCTGTGAGCAGTTCTGCATCCAAGCTCCTCAGGAGCTGTGTAATGGGGTTTTGGTGCCTGCAGGTTCCCCAGGAGAGCTGTGCTGGGGTTCTGTCTGTGCAGAGGGAAAAGGAGGCGCTGGGAGAGCTGAGCTGAGGTGTCAGAGCCAGCAGCTTCCACTCCTCAGATCCTGCATCAGGAAGCAACAATTACCTCACCCTGTTTGCTGCTTTGCAAAAACATCCTCGGAACTTCAGAGCGCTGCTCTCCACCAGAGACTCTGGAATTCTGCATGTTCCTTCAATCCCAGCTCCGTGCCTGCTGTCTTGATAGCTTTAGAAAGTTTTACGTTTCCAGAGAGCAGCCTGTCCTTTGCCTTCTTGAAGTATTGTTCTGGTAGGTGACTGAAAAGGAACTTCTGAACTGATTCACAGAACTCAGAATGTTCTGAGTTGAACTCCCAAGGCGCAATCTTAAGTGAATGGCCCATGGCTGGATCAAATCCACAATCTTGGCATTATTAACATCATGCTCTGACCAACTGAGCCAATCTCAGGGTCAATTATTTTCCTTTGCAAATATTTGTAAGTTATTTGCCACTTCCTAGAGACCAGAAAATGCTGCCTAGTCATTCTGCATTTATTAGGATTCTGCATTTATAAGGATCCTGTGCTTTGGCAGCACTTGTAGCAGCTTCTATTTTGTCTTTTGTTGCTGATGTGGTTGAATAAGAAACATTTTGACCGAGGTCAAAAAGCCACTGACAGGAGTGTAATGTGACCATTTTAGCCGCTCCCTGGGTGTAAGAACTGATTTCTGCCAGTGCTCAGCACTCTGGCTCATTTCCCTTCTCCATGGCTGGACCTCTGCTTGTCTCAGCAGCACCCCCCATTTCTTTGATCCCAGTCCAAGCAGGTTTGCATTGCATTCATCACCAAATTCACTTAAACTTAGATCTAAGTTTAAATTTACAAAGA